GTCCCCCCTCCAGCCTGGCTCTCGGCATTGCCCTCCCCACCCCAGGATGGGGCCCAGATGACCAGCTGTAGTGGTCCGACTGATGCAAACCAAGTGTTCCAGCAGCGCATTTCACATGGGAAATTATTTGTTTGCATTATGCCACCAATACTATCCATAGAAAATAATAATAAAAAAAATCAAAACCCCCAAGACTCCATTTGGAAAACATCAAGCTAAGATTTGTGCTTGAAAAGCTACAGCTTTGCTTTACTTCTGCATGCGTGTGTATGTGATATGAAGTGTCGGTGAGTGAAAATGTACAATAATGCTCTTCTAAAAGCCAGAAGTCTACCAGGTACCAAAGGGTCTTAGGGGCTAATGCAGAGACAAGATTAAACATAAAAGCTGTGGGATCCAGTAAGCTCCTGCTTTACACGGTGGGGACCTGGAGTCAACTCTTGGCTTCTTTTCAGAGGTGCAGAGGTCTTTGAGGCTGTGTGACACCTACACCTCTGACCACAACACCCCAGACAGGCACAGGATAGCCTGGAGACTGGTTGTTATCCAAGTGGACAGGAATATCTACATCTTGGCTGTCACCTGGGGATAGCACCTCCTGTCCTGAAAAAGCCTCAACAAAACCTCAAGGAGAGACACACCCACTTCTCTACCCCCATCATGGACTCAGAGAATGGTGTGGGATGGAAGGGACCTTACAGACCATCTCGTTCCACCCCCCCTGCCATGGGCAGGGACCCCTTCCAACCAGCCCAGGGTGCTCCGAGCCCCGTCCAACTTGGCCTTGAGCACTGCCAGGGAGGGGGCAGCCACAGCTTCTCTGGGCAACCCAGGCCAGGGCCTCAGCACCCTTGAGTAAAGAGTTTCTTTCTTATATCTAATCTATATCTGCCCTCTTTCAGCTTGAAGCCATCACCCCTTGTCCTATCACTCCATACCCTCATAAAAAGCCCCTGTCCAGCTCTCTCGCAGCCCCTCCAGGCACTGGCAGCTGCTCTAAGGTCTCCCCGCAGCCTTCTCTTCTCCAGGCTGAACAGCCCCAGCTCTCCCAGCCTGTCCTCACAGCGGAGTGCTTCCAGCCCTTGGATCATTGCTGTGACCTCTGGACCTGCTCCCAGAGGTCCAGGTCTCTGCTGTGCTGAGGGCTCCAGAGCTGGATGCAGGACGCCCGGGGGGGTCTCACAACCTTCTGGCCCCTCCAGACCTTCCAACACCACCAGTCACTGACCACAGCAAAGCAAACCTCCCACCAGCCTGGTGCGACATGTCACAACTTCAGGCTTCGTAATCCCAGGGCTCTCAGAGGGCAGGGGATGCTGGGAAGCATCTCACCATTACAAAAACACTCCGTGCCACACTGGTTTGGCAATGAGTGCTGACAACACGCTTTTTGTCCCACCCAGCCACCAATATCCCCTCCACGTGCCAGCAGAAGACATTTTATTTCACCCCACCATCTTTGGAAGACAAACGCAACATCAGCATTCTCCTAGCTAGACTCTCAAAACCATTTCCGAATACTTGAAGACCACCACTAACTAACTGCAAGCCACGTGCCAGATCCTCATCAATTCCTGACACTGTCTGCTCAACACCACCAAACCCCTCCCTTGTTACCGTTCATTTTACAACCCCCAGGAGCCAGTGGTGCCCAGGCACAGCCAAGCAAGGCACAAACCCGGGGGAAGACCCCGGAACCCCAGGGGAATTTTCAGCTCCTTTCAAAGAGTAGAAAAACTACCCCACAAGGAGAGGAGAGCTGGAGAAAAGGAAGGCTGCACTGAGCTTCAACGTTTGGGGCAGAAATTAGAGGATAAGCTAATGGACAGGACTCTGAAAAAGAGGGTAAGAAGGTTCACAAGTCTGGGGTGAGGATGCACGCACACGTTTTGGATGAACCCTATTTGCCACCTGACTTTAGAACTTGTGAAAATCAAAGTACGTGAATAAGCTGCCTTCCTATCCTTGAAAATTTGGCATTTGCTGGATTTTATATTCTTTTTTAATGAAGCATTTTATAGAACTCAAGTCAGAGTACCACAGAAATACCCAGAACTTCCGTTAATATTGTAACATAAATTAAACCATATTTTTCCTGGAAATTCGTGTGTGGAGTGGGACAGAATGAGGTCTGGTTCTGTAAAATTTTCATGAGAGCTGATGAAATACCATGCAAACTTCTGTAGAGCCCAAGCAATAAATTCAAATCTCAAGCTGAAACACTGCCTACCATACCCATCCTGGCTTCTTTTAGTGGCTGAAAAGGTCAATGAAATCCACCCAGAGCTGGCTGTACTACGTACAGAAGAAAGCCACTGGGCTGAAAACGAGCAGGAGAAAGTCAGAGAAAGGCTCATCATGTCTTACCACGAAGGTCAACCTCTGCTACACAAAGAGAATTTTTAGTTATTTTAGCTGTTGAAAGACTCTAAGATGCCTGTTCAGAAACCATTCGTTTTACAGACTCCCCTCTCTTCAAACACAAATTTTTTCTCAGCCACGTTGGCAATCAGCATCCACAGCTCCTTAGTTGTTTTACTGCTTATTCTAGAGGCGTTTCGTTGCCATTTCAATATCCGTGGTGGAAGACGCTGTCCAGAGCAAGCCCCTGCAGGGCTACGCTGCGCAGCCTGGATGTCGCCAAGATGTTGAGAGGAAGCCCAGGGCAGAAGCACTTCAATATTTATTGCAAAAAAATGCGCTTCTGAATAACACAGTATCAGCCAGCACCTGCTGTGTCCTTCGTTAAATAAGAACTCACCAATCAGCCAAATATCTGAGTTTATTTCCTATACTCGCTTTAGACTGCAACCTCTTTCAAGTGTCGTCTTCAGCGTACACACCCATCAGGACGAAACCAGTGCCCGTTCTTCACAGACCGCGTGCCTAAAAAGGCTAAACTATTTTTTTGCATTTTTATGAAGTGCGTGAAACTCTCTGATCCCAACGGCGATGGTATTAAACACATACGACGAGGAAAAATCCCCAGAAAATCATAAAAGATTTAAAGAAAATCTGCTACTGCCATATTGCTTATATGGTAAACAATATATTGGTGGAATTTGAGCCATCCTCTCCTCCACTCCAGCCCTCACCGGAACACCCCGGTTCTGCACACCCTGCATCAGCCCTGACATTTGCTTTTTGGAGAAAAAAAAAAATAACGATGGCTACTGCCGGGGTGTTCTAACACCATACAGCATGGTTGCCACCTGGCCCCGCTCCACGGTGGGTCACAGCCATCGTCCTGTACTTCGGGTTTCAGCAACCCCGAACGGCTTCAAATGCCGCTGGCGGAAAATATGAACAGCACAGATTGCGATCACCGTCCTGTTAAAACCTGCTGCTGGTACGAATACCTGTCACGCTCGTAGCGCTGGGATTGCTAAATTACTCCCCTGGCGAAAACACCTGAGTTAACAACAAAAGAGCAGGGACAGTCTCCCATTTACCTTCTCTGCACTGGGATTCTCAAACACTGGGAACAGATCAGTGGGCTGTAACGTGTCCCCCAGTACAGGGCCAGGAACTGCTCTGCTGCTTCAGCCCAGCGCCAAGACCAGAGATACTAAAGTTAAACCCAGGTTTAGAATTTCCAGTTGCAACAAAGAGCTCGTGATTGTAACAGCCCAGATCAAGGCAATTTCACAGTAGTATCTGGAACATGTAGTATTTTGGGGGAAAAAACCCTACATCTTCAATGAAATGAAAATATTTCCAAATAGTGGTGGTTTGGTTTTTTCACATCCTCTTCTTCTCCCTCTCTTTTTAAAAATAGCACGGCACCTCAACTAGGATCAGACGGAAATTCCAAAAAAATTGAAACACTGCTGCTACTCTCATGTAACCCTCACAAAAAAAAGAGGAAAAAACAAAATGAACAAAAAGAAGTAAGAAAATCTGTAGTGCTACACGAGTTTTCAAAGTGTGTCTGGAAAACAATTTGATTCTGTTCCTACAATAAAGTTGAATGTTTTGGACGCAATCACTGCAAATGACGAAGCCTTGGCAAGCTGCTCCCTTCCAGCATATGGAAATCTTGTCTGTCAAACTTTGCTTTCTCCACTGCCTGCCTGCTAATACATTTTCATAACGGCCTCATCAGCCAGTGTGATTTCATTACAGACTGCGACCCAGCGCGACACAAACCCACTTTCTTCTTCCATCAGAGGCTCGTGCATTTGGTAGGAATCCCAGCCGGGCTGGACCAGGTCGTGCTCGTGGTGCTGAGCAAGAACCCAAGCTGCCATCCCTCCGGCTCCTACCTCCGTACCTGAGGATGGCGGGCGCTTGCTCAGAAAACCCCCAGAGCAAAGGAAAGTTCAACGTACCACCAACAGAAACCCCTCTCCCCGCGTACAGGGGAGAACAAACTGGTCTCACGGCAGAGCAACGACCAGAAAAAGTCGCAGACGAGTTTTCTCCGCCATCTCCTCACCTGCGCAGTGGGACACGATGGGGACGAAGCATTAAACTGGCGACCGGCTGCAGATACAGGGCTGTCACGGTGATGGCTCCAGGATGCAGCCAGAGACTTTGCTCAGATTAGAAGGGGGATGGAAGCTGTGGGCTGAAAGCCCAAGGACATGGGGGGAACCTAGCTGAGGCTGCCTGGAAATAAACAAAATACTAAATACCAAAATGTCAGCCCTGGCTCCTCTTCTCCTTGCTAACGTCTTTTTTGTGGAATTTGCCAGGAAGAACCACAAAAATGTCCCCTCTCAAAAGGCCTTTCAGAAGTCAAAGGGCCGCCTGAATGCCGGCATTGTGAGCGTCCGTACGAGGGACGCGCCGGGATGGTGGCTCCACACACTGCGCTTGGCTCCTTCCCCTCTGGTACGCTGCACGCTGCCAAGCGGGGCTGGAATCCCTGGCTTTTCGTTCAAAAACAGAAGAAAAAAAAGAGCAGCCCAACAAAATCTCTCATTTTCTAGAAACCATCAAAGTTATAGCCCCGCAGTGCTCAGGGACTGACAGAAGGCTGGTAGGGGAGCAAACAGGGAGCGGAATTTGGGGATCCCCTGCAGGAACATCCTTACAGGATACAGGGGTGGACGTGCAGGTTCAGTCCCCAGCTGCCCACAGGCACACGCAGCCCAGCCCATCACCCCGGACGCAGCCGCCACGCTCGGGGAGGGCAGCACCCTGGGCAGGGTGACCACGGAGGAGGTGGCCATCACCCCGCCTCGGGGCGCAGAGCCGCTCTGGAAGGCGGCGTGGGGGCTGCCCTACTGCACCCTGGTTTTCATGTACAATTTGCTGATTTGTCCTTGTGTTCCTGAAAAGTGAGGCTGCTCAGACTAGGAGCCAACTCAACGCTACGATTCCTCCACAATCCATCTTTACACCATGGCTACGTACAGTGTGCAGCGGGCAAACCAGACATGGCAGTTAGGAAAGGAACCCCAAAGTGTCACACTGACAGCACCTCACTGATCACGGAGCAGCAGGGCAGCATCCGCCCGCCACCACCCAACAGAAGTACTTGGTTCATGACTACATTTGCTTTCTTTCCCTTTAGAATCATGGAATCATCAGGGTTGGAAAAGACCTCTAAGATGATCAAGTCCAACTGTCAACCCTTCAGTTTGGCCATGCCACCAAGAAGGACACTGGAAATAAAGGAGACCGGTCCTCACCCTCATGGAGAGGCAGCGCTTAATACTCGTAGCACCTAAACGATGCCCGCTCCAGCACCTTCCCGCGGCCGCGGAGGAGGCGGCTGCAGTACCAGCCCCCAGCCCGAGCCCCCGGCGCGCTCCTACCTCGCAGGTCCTGCTGCGTGCGGGCGCCGGCCACGCTCTGCCGCGGCATCCGGAGCGAGGTCCGCAGGGGAGTGTGCCTCTGCTCGTCCAGGTAGGCGAGATCTTCGAGGTGGGCTGAGCTGGTGGCTGCCACGAGAAAGCAAAATCACCACATCACACCTGGCTTTCAGATCTCAGGTTCTGGTTAACGTATTTTTCCTTTTTAAAGCAAAATACACGGAGTTCTAACTATACTGAGTCAACACAGCTAAGGTGAACCAAATCCAACTTCCCCCAGCAAGGAGTAAAGAAGTGTTTTGGTAACTTCTTCTCATGCCCCATGGGTATTTGCTCTGGTTTGGTCTCCTCTTGATGGTCACAGCTAAAAAAGACACATGGAAAATGGAGACGCGGAGTCTCTCAACTAAGCTCTCCCAGCCAAAGCTTGACAGAGGCAGGCGGCATCTCCTCCTACGTGAAAGCCAACTCCATAGTGCGTTCTATGCTGGAGTCCACGATCTCCTCGTCAACTATTTTAGAGCTACTTACTTTGGATATTAACATTTATCTGTTCATAAAGCCAGAATTAGCAGAAGAAAAACAAAACTTTCAACAGACCAGCAAAAAATGCACAAATAAATGAGTAAAATGTTACCTGAACAAAAGCCGATGACTTTATTATTCTAACGTTACTTGCTCATGGGAGAATTTAGTTTTCTTTACAACGCTAGATGAAATAGGAATAATTTATTGGTCTCTGATGAAGGTGCCAGCTCTGCGTGAACAAACGTGGTTGCAACAGAAACTGCAGCTAGAAAGTTTCTCTCTTTCTCTCGGAAGCCGGCTGATAATACAGCGCAAGCTGGTTTTTACTCCGTTTTTCGACTGAAGCCCGTGGATGGTCCTGCCACCAGCCGCGCGGGCTGCATCCGCGGGGCAGAGCCACGCGCAGCGGTCCCCGAGGCACTACGGGAAACACGGCACGTCGGCAAGAGGTCGGATTCTGGAGGTGCTTCCCTCCAAACCCCACGGCCTCAAGCATCGTCTCGCAGCGGCACTTCCCCCCAAGATGCGACACTTACAGAGATCGTTTTGGAGAGCAGTTTTTAAGCAACGCCCTTTCCACAGCTACCCGATGACCACAAACGTTTTTTTAATTTGAATTTCATGATGGGTGCAGCACGGTTCGGTGGGAAATGCCTCCGGATTGTATCAGAGGGGAATGACTGGAGTTAACACTGCCCACAAAACTGCACCAATCAGCACAAGAAATAGCGATTTTTTTTATTGGTGGGGATTGGAAGATAAAAGAAAATGTGGTTTGAACATGACAAATTTCGATTGCTTCCATGTGAATTTACCCACTATTCAGAAATGATTTTCTGCCATGTCAGAACCCTTTTCAGTCAAGTAATTTACAGAATGTGATAAAATGAAGGAATGACAACTCCACTGCACTAAGCAATCTTCCCAATTACACACAGAAAACTTACTAATGCTCTTCGCAGATCACCAGCTCTGTTCCTGTTCTGATAACCGTCTCCAGAATTCACATTCAACATTTACCGATGGAAAACACGTCACTCAGTATTTGGCTGCTCAATACTCTGTATCTGATACCGCGCGCTTTTTTTGTCAGTTTTTGGTCAATTACCATAACAAGATTATTATTTTAAATTGAACTAATTAATTAAATGACTTCTTCAAAGACTGCCTGTGAGGCTGATATTAATTCTTCGCTGTGAAATGGGTAAATGTTTGGATACAGCTCTCTGGAGTAGCTCACGGCACTGAACTTTGCACCCTTCCTCCAACACAAGATGTAACAACTCAACACAAGGGAAAGGCTGAAAATTTCAAAACTAAGGGAAACGCTTTTTATACGCGATGCCTAATGACCATACAAAAATCCTTACAAGATCTTCTTGCGGTCAAAATCCAAGCAAGATTCAGAGACTGTAACAAGGGGTGGGGAGAAGGGGCTCAAATTCAGCAGCAATTTTTAATGCTGTTCTTAAATTTTCCTGAACTCTTTATATAAATTTTAAGAAAAAGAGTAAGGGAGAGACAGAGAGAGGACAAAAGGTAAACAATAAGAGCAAGAAAAAAAGAGGAGATAACCCCATCAAAGCCTGTTTTTAGAAGACCTTCATGCTCTTCTACTCCTGTAAAGTTGATCTGATGCTCACTGTGAAGGAGCTGAAATGCTGTCAGCAGAAACCAGGGCCTTAGTGCGGATGCCAGGGATTGGCGAGGTGTGTCGTGGGGGCCCCAACCCCCCCGCAGCCTGCGCCCAGCATCTCCAGCCTTCGGCTTCAGCTGCCGCTCACCCGGCGGTGGCACAGGCCACGGCAACGTGCCTTCTGCCCAGAAGCACGCGCAGTTTATGTCCCTCCTTGCGGCGTGACTGAGCCCGAGGACCTGCACGAAGAGCAGCCCTTACCGCAGCAACCCCCGGCGGACCCGAAGCATCCCGGGGGGATCTGGTACCCCGGAGCCCGGTACCACGCAGGTCAGGCCTTCGTCCCCCGACCCGTGCCAGCGTGCCTGTACAACTGCTGCACTCACACACGCGGCTGCCGACGTTCTCGGGAAAGCAGGACCTGAACAGATAATCTGCTCTTGTTAAATACAAACCCCTTTTCACTTCAGCTGACTGTCAGGCAACCAGGTAAAAAGCAGCCAGCCAGGACTGCCCAGCACTGGCCAGTGCATGTAGGATACGCTGAAAATCCACACCAGAAACAGCCCGAACCCACCCTGGGAGAGTTTAGACAGGAAACATTCGACCCCCTTTAATAAAAAAAACAAAACAATGTCTGAATGCTTTTCTTTTCTATTTGTAAATGACACTGCAGTAAGCTTATGCAGACCATTAGATTATTCTGTGATCCTTTCCAGGCATATCTTGTACCCTTGAATGGGAGTTATTAATGCTGCGCACACAGAGCTCAGCAGTTTGGCTGCACCAAGGCTTCGCCGCTTACAATAAACAAATTTGCTGGCTCAAAGAGCCACTGTTCCTCCTTGAAGACATCACACTTTTTAACAGAATTCAGTAAAGAAATATCTTCTTGAATTCAGTTCAAGTTACCTTGCTGAAGCTGCTCCTGCTTCTCTGAAAAAAAAGGAAAGAAAACAAAAGTCCTCATATTGGACTTGCTGCAAGGTGAACAGAGTGCCCACGGCAGGGCACGACTATGTGTGCGCACCATCACTAAATATATCTACGTGTGTGTATGAGAGCGTGCGCGTGCATCTCTCTATACGTCTATCAGCTGCCCAAGGATAACATTTGCTCCCTCTAAATTCTGTATTCAGTCCTGTTCCAGTCCCATTTTAATTCTATCAAGCACATTCAGAGCCATCAAGGATGACCAGAAACATTAATCTTGCAGGTAATTTCATTTCTTTATACAGGATCATCTAATGCAGCAACAAACTGCTGGAAGCTTGTTTTTCCAATTTATATAACAGTTAAAACCAAAAATTGCTTCCTTCCCAAGCACTCATCAACAAAAAGAATAAAGTAACTTCTTTTCAAAATTCACATTAGTCCTCGAATAGAGAATCAGTTTCACAACATGATTATGAGCAAATTTCTTTTGCCTTCCAGTCTCCAGGAGAACACCCTCACACCAGCCCAGCTCACGCACACCGTGCAAATACTGCGCTGCAACCACGCTGCACGCCCGAGGAGCAAGACCTGCAACGCTCCGGGCAGCACAGCGAGCCCCCGGTTCATCGTACGGGGTTTCAAACACCAAATGGTTCTTCTCAGGAGGCACAGACCATACGCCACGCACAACCTGCGCTGCCCAGACCGCATCCGGCTCTCCAAGCCTACGCGACTTCTTGTAGTTGATGGTTTCCGAAGCATCAGCCAGTGGCAGGCCCACAGCTAGCGTGTTGTTTTCTTCAATTAGTGCTAATCATGGTCATTTAAAGCTTTGTGGGGAAAAAAGAAAAATTAAGAAACTCGCTGGGAGAGTATGCCCAGGTTCTGAAGCCCAGTTTTTCAAACTCTTATCAGCTGGTCTGATCAAGCACGGCATCTCCCGCTCGACACATCGCTTTTTTTAAAATAGAGGCTAAAAACCAGCATGGGTACGTTCTCTGCTCTGCCACATTGGCAGATCTACTTTCTTCTTCTGAGAAGGCTGCTTTAAAGGGTTTGTGTTGTTGGCCTTTTTTCTTATTTTCTCCTTTTTAAGTCCTAAAAATCTGCTTTTAGAACAGTTTCAGATGAATGGAATCGTGTGGTATTTCATCTCCTGGATAAAAGCCACAGCCAGCAGATACAGAGCCAAGTGCCGCACGCACATCAGCCCTATCTTCTCCTTACCGACTACTGGTGGGCTGCAGGATATTCCTGCTTACGACGCCGGGAAAGGTTCTCAACATGAAGCCAAGATTTCTGTAGCGTGATGGACACCTGGTGACCATGAGAGCGGGGCTTTGGGGACATCCTTGGAAACCGGTTTCTAGACGGCATCCACCCCAGTTGGCAGCTAAAAGGAGAGTCAGCAACGCTGGGCCTCACGACGGTGTCTGAGGAACACAAGTTTACCAGCGCTCGTTGAGTTCTGTAACTAAAAAGCTTTCCTAATGCAAAGGGCGGCACACGCTTTCCAAATTGCATTCATCTTCTAGGAGGTTGGTCTTGGTGAGCAGACAGGAACGCAGCTCAGAGCCGCTCCTCACCCTCCTCCAGTAGCTCAGGTGTCCACAGAGAGGGCTTTCACCGCACACCCAGAGCATCAACTCGGCTGGGTCCCCAACAGCAAACGGCAAGGGCACAACGGGGCGGCTGTTCCGACGGCTGCTCGATGGCTCCAGCTACTGCACCACAGGCAGACAGGAGTTCTGAGGCAAACAGCGGAACGATGGCGAGTCCCTGCCATACACATGCAGCCTTCTGGAAGCAGAATTGTCTCATTTCCTGGGGAGAACTGAAGTCCTGCTGGCATTTGTTGTTTTTCTTTAAAGAGTCTGCACTCCAACCTCTGTCCCGTCTGCGGAAAGAGAAGCCAGCTGCAGTCCCAGATGTTTTGCTGGGGTGGACCTTGTGCGCTGCCAGAGAAGAGCACAATGATGGCCAGTGGCCTCCTCTACTGTTGGTCCTACAACAGGTGAGGAGTTCTTCC